ACCCCAAGTTGTTATTCTGGTGGCTAGGACATAGGAGCATTATATAAATATTTGTCACATGGATAAGTGAATTTTTGTGCGTGCATTTTACGGGTACATAGACATTTATGTATATTTTAACTTATAGCTCAAGTTATCAGCAAGTAACCTTGTTTCCGATGGTCAGGTCTATATTCCTTAGAACTGACTTAAATCCCTCAAGAACAGTATATACTACCTGATTCTCCAAGTGTGGTAGTTAATCAGTTTCTCTACAGATAGGACCGTGGGACGGCAGAATAAATGACCCAAGTGCAGGCAGGGTTCTTCTGAACTGTATTCCTAGGTTAAGTTCGTAACGGCAGAAATGGCCCCCGGTGACTAGCACTCCAGACTCGGATGCTGTAGGGAGGTTGGTGTCTATACAGGGAACCGGACATGCCAAGCCGTTGGGCAGATATGCAAGTTGAAGTGGGATCACAGGATGGGAGATCTCAGCCAGTTAAGCTAGACAGGATAGGGACCAAATAGAAGCAAAGCTAGATATGGTATGCCGAGGTGGAGAAATTGCCAAAACAGAGGTTGTGGGTGAGGTTGCAGACAGAGTTCAGGTCAAAGAGACTTGCTAAACTGAGATGGGCTCATGCCAAATACAACCACCCATTCATTTCCTCCTAGGTGCATTCATTTGTTCAACATATCTGTGTCATTTACTCTGTGACAGCCACTGTGAAAATGTAAATATACTGATACCAACAAGGTGCAGTCTCTGTTCCAAGTCAGTAAGCTGCGAACCAACCTTCTCAGATGCATTAGCAGAGTTGTAATAACAGTGTCACAGATGGTAGGACCAGGTGCTGGTGGAAGAACCCATGACCAGGGCAAAAATGAGATGGTGAAGTTGTAGTTAGCAAGGTGAGGATGGTGAGCAGCCAAGATAATCCTGCTCAAGCTTTATGAATGGCTGAAGGTACAAAAGAGCCTGGAGGAAGCTTATTCAGGAGCTGCACACACCCAGCCATAGCTGGATCCCGTGTGCGCCACTGAATAGTCCTCACTTTCTCCTAGGAGCAAAGAATTGATTCAGCCGGGGAGTGACATCATCAGACAGGTTTCAAAAACATCTGCTACAATGAAAGTGTGAATAGCAGGAGTACAAATGTGTGAACAGTGGGACAAAGGAAAGACGGACCAGGGACACGCTGCAGTGAGTGCAGTGAAGGCAGTGAGAACCAAGGCAGATGAGTCTACTTCAGAGAATTGCCAAAGGCCAGTCACTGGCTGGATGTGAACATGTTCAGCCAAACAAGGTTAGCTAGGATTCTGACTCGGGCAGCTGGGGGGGGGGGGATGCCTCACTTAGGAGGCAGACAAGCAAGAGAAGAGGAGTCAGTTTTCAGTGAGCTGAGTGACAGAGCTAAATCCCCACACATCTGAATCCCTTCTGCTCGCTGGGCTCACTCCACATTATCAAAATGAGCATGTCTCCTTTGGGAGTTCATGAGGATGTGACGTCTGGCTAGGATCCTCACTGACTTGTCATTATCAATTATTCCTAAGTTCACTCAACCAAGCCTTATTAAACAGCAGGTATGAACGCACAGCATCCCAGTATGTCCTAGCTCCCGGTGCTCATGTGTGCAGGTGGTTCATCTCTGTAGAAGCAATCATTCAGAGGGCAGCTATGTTCTAGCTATGTGCACTACTGTCTGTGCTGTCCAGTGCTGCCTAACGCCTCTCCTCGTCCTCATGGCTGCCACAGTTTCTTTTGTCACTAAATTCCTGTGGCTTCCTTGTGTTTTTGCTCAGTCTTGGAGATTTTGCTTGGGAAGAAGTTAGATACCTAGGGAAAACTCCAGAGAAGTGGCTTTATATGGACACAGGCCTGGGAACTATTTTTCCAAGCTCCAGGGTTTTGTAAGTAACCCCAGGGCTTTCTGGAACTCAAGGGATAGCGCTGCAGTTCCAGTAATAGATGTGATGGATCAGAGCCTTCCTCATGGTGTTTGAGTCATACAACTTCATTTCATATCTGATGCTTGGCTTTCCCAAGCTGAGGTATGAAATTCAGGTGTCAGCGATGTAAGTGGGGTCTACAGAAAGAAACCTAAAATGTTTAGATGGCTAAAATTAAACTCATAGGCTCAATTCTAAGCCCACACATCCAGAAGACTGCCGGGAGCCAAAGCTATCTAGTGAAGACTAAGCTATCTACTGAAGCCTAAGTCAATTAGTGAGTCAAAACTATCTAGTGGAGACAAAAGGTGTTTGCTAGGCCAAAGCCAAATAGTGAGCAAAGGTCAGTTAGTGGAGACCTAAAGCTATTTAGTGAAAGTTATCTAGGACCCTAACTCATGGGTGAGAGACTGTGAGGACATCCATTTGTTAGAGCATCCGTGAGAAAACATCCCTAAGTTATCTTGAAGGCACCCTATTTAACACATGAAAGCACTCTTCCTGTTTCCTGCAGCAGCTAGTTACCTTCCCCCTTTCCTGCCTTCTCCTTATATAAGTTGGGTAAAAATTTCTAATAAACGGAAGCCTTGATCAGACAAACAGACTTGGCTCCCTTCCTTGCGCTTCTTGTCCCCCCCCCCAATTCCTTCCACTCTCCTCCCTTAGGAACCCCGTTGAAGCCCTGCTGGTCCGGGGCAGAAGACAGCATGTCGCTTATCTAATTAATCTACATTAGTGGGCCTGGAAGAAAGAGGAATTGACTTTAAACACTATTCTCTGATGGTTAATTAAAAGTCAAACAAAAGTTCTTGGAATTTTCACCTCCTCAGGGATACAAGAATTAATAAAGTGATTTGGTATTCCTAACCTGTTTTAAATATAATCTTTTTCAGATGTGTTAGTATCATTAATATCATGGTCAATAAAGATATAAATATTGTATATTTATTTTAGTCAATTCAGACAACACCATGGTGAGCCTGACCCAGAATTAGTTTTATTCCAGAAACTTTTTATAGTTTATGTTTTGTTTTGTTTTAGCAGTACCTCATGCAGTCCAGAATGGCCTGGAATTTTCCATGTAGTTGACAATAACCTTGAACCTTTGATTCTCCTGTGCTGAAATTACAGGCTTATGCCATCTAACTTGACTTACATTTTTAGTTTTGTTCAGAGAATGTCTCTTGCTCAATAGCAGGCAACCCCTAGCTCATTTGGAAACCTATGACACACTTAGCTAGCCAATGAACAAATAATGCAACCTCCTCAGTCCACTGACATAGGAGAGAGATTGCCTTTGTGTCTTGCTTCTCTGTTGCTGTGACAAGATAGCCTGACCAAGTCAAATTAGAGAGAGAGAGATTATTGAAGTCCTGGTTCCAGAGGGAGAGAGTCCATGATCATCATGGTGGGTAGCATGGCAGCAGGCAGGCAGGCATGGCACTGGAGCAGTAACCGAGAACTCACACCTGATCCAGGAGGAGGAGGGAGAAGTGTGTGTGTGTGGGAGCTTTTGAAACCTCAAAGCCCACCCCAGTCATACACATCCTCCAACAAGGCCACCTCCTAAGTCCTTCTCAAACAGTTCTACCAACTGGAAACCAAGCATTCAAATATATGAGCTTATGTGGGCCATTATCATTCAAAACACATATGTAAAGGCAAAATAATTCTAGCTTGCAAACCTTGGAAGCCTGAACCACTCACTGACAGCATCCTTAATTTTTTCGGTCAGAGTGGGAAAAAATTTTAGCCTTAATAAAGGAATTTGTTCTTAGCTCACAGTTAGTGCTAGAGCCAGGATGAGGTCTGGCTTCTGAAGCACGACACTTGTCACCAGGTCACTGTGCAACAGCCACTCTTGTTTAGAATCCTCTAAAACCCTGAGACTGAACACACATTTCCGGTGAGCTACCTGGTAAGTGAGGCACAATTTTTATCACCCATGGTACTTCATCAAGGACTTCTTCTTGGTGAAACTCCTGGGAGCACCACATCCAAAAAGCAGCAATTCACCCGCGCTGCCTACAGCCCTGCAGGCTGTGGCAGAGACCCATCAGGCAGCTCTGCACAGCATTCTGGAAATTTTAGAGACTGCATTGGGCCAGCTGCTCCGAGTAGAGCAAACCATCAGCTGTTCACTTCCAATTAGGAGTCAGGGTTTCTGCACAGTGGAGGTCCCGCTTGCCACATTCACAGACATGTGACTCAGTCATGTTCAATTATTCAAAAACCACTTTTATTTCAGGCCCTGCTCCATGCACAATGTTAGGAATATTGCTTTGTAATATAGGCAAAAGTTTGGCTATGAGCTGTCATCAGCCAATATGCAGTTTATTTTCCCAGGATGGCCTTCGCAGGGGCAGCTAGAGCGGTGGTTGGACCTTTTCATGAAAGCCAAGAGTCCTTGTGACATAAGCCTTCCTATTTGGCTTTGCAAATGGAAGTGGAAAATTGGTCTCCAGGGTACTTCATGGTTCTGAAGTTTTCCTTTAATATACTATTTTTTTTGCAATATTCTTCCCCATTATTGAAGCCTGTGAGGAACTGCAGAAACTTACAAAACAAACAAACAAACAAACAAACAAACAAAAAGAATACAACATAATGATAACTAGTCACAACCTTTTACTTTGAAGAATTTTGGTCTATTTTTCATATATATGAAAAAAAGAGGACTCCCTCCCTTCCTCCATCTTTATTTCTCCATTCCTTCTTCCTTCTTCTCCTCTTTCACCTTCTATCTCCCTCTTCCATCCATTCTGCCCTCTTTTCTCGAAATTCTAGGAGTCTATAATAAGTACATGAAAGTGAAAACGAAGTTCTTTGCCCAAGCTGCAGGTGTGATGATAGTTGCTTGAGAACATTTCTAAACTAATAGGCAAAGGAATGTGGCTCGGGGACTTAGGCAAGCTCACACTCAGACCAGCTCCATACCTTCACAATAAGATTGCAGCTATAATGTTAGGATGGGCTGGATACTGGTTGCTTTGAAGCAAGAAGGCTTCTTCTCCAGGCGGGTGTCAGTAGTAATCCACATGCCTTGTTTCTGTTATGTCTTTCAGGCATCCGGTGAGAGCTGCATGCACAAGGGGCTAGGTGCAAACATGGACCTCAGTGACAGCTGGGCTTTGGAGGAAGGAAGCTGGCCGTCACATCCTGGGGCTCACCGTTTTCCCAACACCAGAGGGGGTATGGCCACCTTTCATGTTGCTGATTCATTTAGTCTCTCTCATTCCTGCCCCTCACTGTGTCATTCTGTCTGTGCTTCACACATGCCCACAACTGTTGGCTTTTCAAGGGCAGCTTGGGTGGAGACTACTGAACTTGGGCTTAGAAATCCAACAGATCTAAGCTCAGATCCTCAATATACTTGTTATACCTGTGTTGCCTTAAGGACAAATCATTGCCCTGGGAGACTAGGATTAAGAACCTTTGCTTTTCGGAGTCTAGAAGGGGGTAGAAGGGGGCCAGCAGTGTTGTGGTTTGCCATTTCCTGAGCCCTCATGCTCACCGGGTAGGATAAGAGTCAACATCTTTGAGCTCCCACAGTGTGTCAGGCACTGGGCTCTAGCTTTGTTACAAGAGGACAGAGCAGCCAGGGCTAACAGTGTAGGCTAGCTTCCTTCCCTTTTCTTTTTCTTTCTCTTTCTCTCTCTCTCTCTGTCCAATTATTGAATCAGTAGGGCTCAGCCTTAAACGATGCAGGTGCTGAGATTTCTTTAACGTGGAGCATACCAATGTAAGAAGCGGAATGCTGACCCAGAGCTGTGGTCCTCTGTTGGGTTTAAGTCACCCTTCCATGCCCCCAGACTGATAAAGCTCTGTTGAAATGGCTGGAGCCACTGACGAGATCTGAAAGCCCTGAGGTCTAGCCTCCTGGTTGTAGACTTGCCCATCTGAGAACATCACTGAACATAGAAAAAATGCCAAACAACAGAAAGCTGAGAGAGCGAGGGCACAAGTGAGAGAGCCCAGATAGACATGGACTCATTCAGTATCACTCTGGTATGCCCCATCTCCGAATACACACACGGAGTGAATATGGACAGTGTTTCTGTATCATAGCGTGATATCTTTTCCCACCAAAACTACCAGAGGGAACGCCTTTCGAAGAGTGGTTCTCAAACCTGTGGGGTTTGACCCCTTTGAGGGTCAAATGACCATTTCACAGGGGCCACTTAGGACCATCAGAAAACACAGATATTTATATTAAGGTTCATAAGAGTAGCAAAATCACAGTTACGAAGTAGCAACAAAAATAATTTTATGGTTGGGTAGGGTCACAACATGAGAACCTGTATTAAAGGGTCAGGGTATAGGAAGGTTGAGAATCACTGCACCAAAAGGAATGTCATGTGCTCAGAGGGAGGAAGCCCTGGTGCAGCCTATTACAAAAACCCACAGATGTCTGCATCCAATGCCCACTCAGCCAATGGTCTGAGAGGCAGAGAGGAGAACAGGAGTCAGGGGACTCACCGTTGCCTTTGAAACAAGGCGACAGAATCAACTCTAGAATTTTAGAATGGTAAGGCTCCATTACCATGGTAATATGGGTGTGGCCGTGCTTTTGTGACCACACCACCCCAGCTCTCTGTAGGCCCACACTGATCAGTACTCCCTAGGCCAAGGCTGGCCATAAGCAGAGCTGTGTTGAGGTTGCCCACAGGCGAGCCCAGCTCTCAGGTATGTGATGAGCTTCTGAAGCTTGTGGTTGGGAAACTGGGTCTCCGTTCAGAGAATCAGTCTGCAGTGATGGAGACATCCAGGACAGAGGACACAGCCCAGACAAGGGCTCAGCCTGACTGGAACTTGAGAGTCCTTGTGGGCGACTGGTATTGGGGTGATCCTCAGAGGACCTGGGCAGGGGTCAGGAAAGGCACACGTCCTAAGGGGAGTGAGTAGAGCCTGGGGAAGACTGGAAACAGGATGAGAAAACATGTTCAGAGAGTAACGGTGCTAACCCCTCCATGGCAGAGCTAAGTCTGAACTGGATAAACTACAAAAATTATTAGTAAGCTATATACTGATTCCCAGCTAAGCCCTTTTTGTATAGATATAGACATCTCAAACAATCTTTACTGAAAAAAAAAAAAATTCTCAGTTGATGAATGGAAAAACTAGGCCTGAAAGTGTTGAGAACTTGCCCGGAGTCATCCAGCTATAAATGGCAGAGCTGAGCCTAGAGCCTGGATAGTGTGTCAATCCAGGCGCCATAGGCCACCCCAGTCGCTGCCCAACACCCTGCCTATGGAGTTTGAGATTCCGGTAGTTCAGTGACAGTCTTGGGTGGCTGGCAACACAATTGCTTTGTAGAGAAAAGAACTCTGAGCAGAGACAGAAAACACTGAAGTACTCAGGTGCTCACATCTGCCTCCGTTTACGCATTGCAAGGCCAGCTCATCTGCTTGGACAGCATTCTCTGACCCCACCTCCACTGGCTGCTAGCAGCTTGGAAGCTCAGGGTGAGATTTGCGTTTCTAGTGAAGTTCCCGGGAAAGTTGGAGTGCCAAGGCCTCAGGGCTCTGTTCTTAGCTCAGTGGCTCTGTTCCTGGCTTCTTGGAGTCCTCATTAAAATTGAGTCCCTGCCAGTAAGGCTCAGTCATCCTGAGTCACAGGCCTCCAGGCAGGTCCACCACACAGCTGCTCTCAGAGCTTCTCCAGGATGTTGGTGTGTGTGTGTGTGTGTGTGTGTGTGTGTGTGTGTGTGAGAGAGAGAGAGAGAGAGAGAGAGAGAGAGAACTGGGGAGGTTAACTCCAGGAAGTTAGCTTGGAAGGCTCTCAGCCCAGATGTGTGTGTGTGTTGGTGGGGGTGATAAAGCAGTTTCTGAAGGAATGTCCCTCTCCTGGTTCTTGCTTTCTACACGCTTTCCTCAAAGGACCTGGACCAGTGGGTTTTCAAACCTGTTTTCACAACCTGGAACTCATTTTCTAGTTGAAATTATATGTAGTCACTGACATATAAAGACATGAGGAGGAGGACAGTGTTTGGCCACTGTCCCGGTCTGAGTTATGTTACAATTTGGTCTGGCCTGGGCTACCATCTACCAAAACTGCCTCATGGTTTGGAATTTGGTGAGAGGTGAACTGGCCTTTCAGGGAACCCACAAAGCAGTTCCTCTTCTAGCTGTGCTCACTCAGCTATTTAGGGTGGAGGTAGGTGACTTCCCCACGCCCTGCTAGCATTCCTCCTTAGGGTAGAGGCAGGAAGAGTGGGAAGCCTTGCCTGTTAGCTTGAGGCAGGCAAAACACAGAAGGTCTGTGGTTAAGGTCTCCCTGCGGTCATCAAAACAGGAAGAGTTCCCTTCTGGTGCCAAGGGGCTAGGGAGAAGCCCAGTCTTGGGGGAGGAGGAAGGAAGTGGCCACTTCTGAATGCGGTGTGTGAACTGCGCTGCCTTTTTTTGTTATCCATTTCTGAAGTGAGGTGGTCACAGTAGAAAGAGAGGAGACAAGGGGATCATGAATTCAAGGTCCACCTAGGTAGCTTACAACAGAGTTCAAGGCCAGTCTGGGATGCCTTGAAAGACCTTCTTTGTCTCAAACAAAACAACCCTCACTAGATTCTTGTGAGGTAGCTGTTCTTATGTCCACGTGTCAGATGAGCACACAGAATCCAGAGGCATCTGGTGAAACTAGACTCGTACAGCAAGCGGCAGCAGACCTAACATTTAGGCTCATGTCTTTATAGTCCAGGACTCTGTCTTGTCTGTTATTTCTCTGCCAGTTTCAAAGGTCACAGCCTTCAGCCTTTCCACTCCTCTGTGACTATTGGTGCTCTGTGTCTTGCACACCCCATGGGGACAGAAAAAATAGTTCCATTATGCTCCATGTCCTGTTTTAATGTTCTCCGCTTCCATTTTACAGAGAAGGGCATGGCATCGGGACGTTTGGGGTCCTACCAAGAGGAATGGCAAAGCCATAGTGTGGGGCTCCACCTATCCCTGCCCCAGGCACACCATACTGACTGCTAGGTAACCTCTTGAGGAAGCCATGTTCATGTAGACAGAGGCAGGCACCCAGGCAGCCCAGGAAGACTCCATGGCATCTCTGAAAGAGCGGTTCTCTCTTGAGTCCAGGATGCTAAGGTGGGGAGCGCAACCAGCGTGGCTGCTGTGTATTGGCATTCGTACCACATTTCCTGCGTATTGTGTTTCTTGACAACTCCGTTGCAGGTTGCAGTTACTGAAAGTTCATTCTCCCCTAATCTCAACTGGGGCTACTTGGTCTGATTTCTGTAGGTCCAGCTGAGCATCAGCAGGAAGCATTTCCTTTGCAGGGCCCTTTCTCTGTGTGTATTTTTGGAATCATTTTTCATTCTGGTTCATGTCTGCATGTATCTTCTAGGAGCGTCGTAGCTCAGCCTGATCTCATTTCCTTTGATATGGTGTTGAGTGTGGAACATTTTAAAGCATAATTTTTATACCATAGTTGGCTAAGGGATTGGAGGGGTGGGGGACAGGCACACCCTTTTCCTTATATGTTTCAAGGGCATCTTGCTTTTGTTAGCAGTATCTCTTGTGTAGATACTTGGTATTGTAGAGACCTTACTTAGTGGTTTACCAGAATGAATCCCTGCAGTTTCTGCCAAGGATTTTTTTTCCAGATATACAACTTACTGCCTCACCTATGCAGCTCATTTATTTCTTCTCAAATTTACAAAACAAACAAACACAACAACAAAACTTAAAGCAGTTGTCTGAGGTTTGGCTTTTATTTAAGGGGAAGGAAAGCCAACTGTTTTTTTCTTCCTCCTTTTCATCAAGGATCATGAAGCAAGACTGTGCTAAAAGGGAGGAATAAAAGGATTGTGCTAAGGAGGAAAGTCAACAGGGCCAATTCACCCCAGAAGGTGGTCAGTCACCTATAGCTGTGTTTTCTTGATAAGAACAACAGCAACAAAACAAAACAAAAAACCTCTTGGTGGGCTTGTGCATGTACTACACTACTTGCTCAGCCTGCTTTTTATATAACCCAGGGCCACCTGCCCAAGGATGACACTGCCCATAGGGGGCTGAGCCCTCAATTGCTAATCAAGAAAAAGCCCTCACAGACATGCTTACATGCCAATCTGATGGAGGCAGATTTTTCTCAGTTGAGGTTCTCTTCCCAGGCGACACTAGCGTCTGTCAAATTGACAAAAGTCATTTTCCCATATGGCAATGAGCAGTGATAACCGCCCCCCCAGGGCCCGG